GCTGTCGATTTTGAGGAGTAGGTTGCCAGATCTTTCTTTCTTGGCATGGCTGGATGGGTTTCCACCATCGTCCTTTTGTTAGCCATTGATCACTTAGCCATTTTGTCACCAGGGCTCCTCATGACTCAGTCGTATTTTCCATATTAAACTGAAAGTTATCTGAGTCATTCCTCATTGACTGTAACCTCATCCATAGCAGAAATTCACCCTGGTTTACAACAGTTCTTCCCGGTATGTTTCACTCTCTCATCCTCAGGAGCCTGGTGGAGGAGTGCATAGGCACTCAGCTGACAACCAAAACGTGCGTGGAACCCACAGCTCCCACCACAGGAGCAAGGTGTGGCCATTCACTTCTGGAAAATTGACAGCCTTGGGAACCCAATGAGGCCTTCTACTCTGTCCCTATAGAGCTGCTAGGGGCCATACTTGATTTGATGGAAACAGCTCTTGTTTGGCTTTGTCTAGTCTTCAGGTAGTTATTGTTAGAGAATCACATATGGGGAAAAAGAAAAAACAACAATTAGATGAGAGGGAAAAAAGAGGATCCTTCTGATCGACCATGGATGTGGTCTGAAGAGAGGACAATGTGCCAGACAGCAGAGAGAATAGCTCACGAGAAAAACCATCTTACTGAAATAGACATTCAAATATAATGAAGCTTTTTTTTCTTCACTTCACGTCTAGCTACAGAATGCTGAGCAAAGGGTGGAGTGGGGTGGGGGAGCAGAGCAAGAGTCCCAATCCATGGCGTCACTATTTTCCTACTTGCCTTTCAGGTTAAGATGCCCTGCACTCAAAGAAGAGAGTGCCAAGGAGACAAGAATAGAGACTCCAATTGTGGAGTGAAGAGCAGAAGAAAGAGCTTCATCACTGAAAGTTTCTATCAATATAATTATATATTTTTATTTATATCAACAAAACTCTTACATCAAAAACATCATATTCCTCACGATCCACAGGCTTAGTACAATACAGATTCCCAGTGTGTTTGTCTATGTAAAACAAATCTAAAGGCTCTTGGTCAACTCCACGCCCACGTATTGAGTAGAAGATTGTATAGTTCTGAGCTGCATCAGATTGAACCTAAAGGAAAAACAAAAAAAATATGCCATGAAATTATAACTAAATTCAGTGAAAACTGCTATTTTAGAAAAAAGTGGATGATCCATTTGTATGTTTATTTTAGAAGCAGAATTTCAATAAATTATCACATTTGTCAATTTACTGACACACAAATATAAAAATGGGTAATAAGTAGTAAGACGCATTTGGCAAAAGACATTTAAAAGCTTCTTAGTCTTTGCTAAGACTAACCTGGGTAGCTCAGTAAAAAACAATCAATATAAGTGGTAATTATTTTTTTTAAGTTCACATGAAACAATAAGGCATCATTTCCCATCTATTGATAAGACACAGGTGTGTTAGTCTGTGTACTTTAGAGAAACAAATCCACAGAAACTCATGTATGGGAAACAGAAGGATTTCTCTCAAGCTATCTCCCCCAAATATATGCCAGACTTATAGCTGCTTGAGAAAGACTGTACACTTGGAGGTCATCAGGAGTGGATTAGGGGTCATTCTCCCTAAGAGCTATCAGCCATCTAGACCAAGCAGACACCACTGTTTATCCCACAACAAGTAGGGCCCACTCCCTTCTGATAAGGATAGTTGTCTGTTTCCTTATAGGAGACACCAGAGAAGTCAAACCTGCCCAAGGATGACCAAAGTTAGGCTGCCATCATGAATCTAGGGTCCACCCATCTTGTCACATGTATACCCCTAGACCTTCCCATTCTTATGGGCACACCCCTAGCTCATCCCCTTCCTGTTACACTTATGCTTATCATAGATCCCCTTCCTAAAATGTGTATGCCTATTATACTGCCCCTTCCGGTGATGTGTGGTTACCTGTAATCATGTCCCCCTAAAGAGATAATGCTTGGTTAACAATAAAGAAAGAGCTCTCCCCGGTCCTGGTTTCCTGGGGCCCTCTCTGGCTCTCAGGCCAGGGGAGCTCTCCCCGGTTCTCGGTCTCCGAGGCTGCTCCTGCTCTTGTGGCCAGGTTCCCCCCACGAGGACCACTAAGCGGGGCTGAAGTGAGCATGCTACCATGCATTGTGTCTGACTCCATTATTCTAATCTTTCCTCTACTTCTCATGCTCTCTATGGCTTTACTATAATCTTCACTTATTATCGCTGTACAACTGCGCCTACCAGACCTGTGATGATTTGTGGGGGATCCCCATCTCCCTCTCCCTTCACCCTACACTCATGTATAAGAGAGAGTTTTATATAAAGAGTAAGTGCACATCAAGAAAACATCCCAACCCAGTGCTGCCCAAGCTCACAAGTCCAACATTAACCCATATGTCCAACACCAATCCACAAAGTCCTCCTCCATCTCATAAAACACATGCAATGATGCTGACTGCAGGAGGAAAGCCGAGTCAGTGAACGTGTAAGCATCTCAGCGCTGGCAGGGATCTCCACACGGCTGCTCCAGCACTCAGGGCTGCATCGGGGTAGGTCCATGCGGCTTCTCTTCGGGGATGTCTTGCAGGAAGTCAGCCTTGCCAGTCGAAGCTGGGAACTGACTAAGGCAGATGCCCCCTGGTCTGACCATCACAAAACGAGAGACCTGAGAACTCGAAAGGCGAGGCTGACCAAGCCACTTCTCCCCCTGCCCTTCAATTAACCCCACATGTGTGTATCGGCCAGGTTGGCACAATAAACTACCTCAACGGGTAAGAAAGAACAATCATACCCATTGTTGGCCAGGGTGAGGCAAACAGGAAGTTTCATATACAAGTGAAGGGAATGCAATTGGAATGTACCTTACAGAAGGGAACTGACAAAAATAATAAGACTCAGTGATGAGCATAAACAAGGGAAGACTCTTCCTGGCAGAGGAACACGGAAATACTTCCAAGTGAACATGGTCTTTGAAGTGTTCAAGAAGCAGGCGGTGGTGGTTGGAGCCGACTGGGCAAGGGGGAAAGAAACAAGAGATGAAGGGGCATTGAAGTAACGGGGGCCATATCCTGAAGGTGACTGGGAGACATTGGCTTTCAACTGGAATCAGATGGGGAGTAATCGATCTGCTTTGCTAAGACTAACCTGGGTTGCTCAGTAAGGGAAGGAGCAGGGAGGCCATTGTGATAGGTTTTATGTCAACTTCAATGGGTCAGGATTCTACCATGATATGATCTAATGTAGTGTGGTCAACTCCATGGTAGTAGCCTTGTGAAGCAGCCAAGCAGTTTGGAGAGAATAGACCACCTTAACCGGGCCATTGTCTTGCTATGATTGGGAAAGTTTCATTCAGGGGGTGACCTGCTCTTAGTTTAAATGGCCATTTTGTGACAGCTAGCTGACTACTGCTGGATTCGGATCCGGCATCTGGTTCATTGACCTCCTGCTATATCATTTGCCAATCCCAGAAATCATCAGCTTGGATTCATTCAGCTGATCGTAGATTCATTCAGCTCAGTATCCACTAGCTTACGATCTCACTGCTTCATCTTCTTGAGTGTGTTCATCAGTCCCTGCAGCTAAAGGAGCCAGAGAAGCCTTCAGCTTCCATCTGCCCCAGGGAGGGAACCAGACTGGATTTACCTCCTTCTACAATGGTGTGAGCCATTTCTTGACAGAAATCTCTTTCTATAAACACACACATCCAAGCATCATGGATTTAGTTTCTCTAGATAATCCAGCCTAAGAAAACCATTTAGAAATGTTACTGCCAAAAGCCTAGGGACATGATGGTTTGTTAGACTAGTGTGATAGGCAAAGTGTTGGTGAGAAATGGTTAGATGCTGAATATCATTTGAAGATACAACCAAAAGGGTTGCCAACTGGTTGAATAGGTGGTATAAAAAGGGAAGCCAAGTTCTACAGATTTGGGGCGATCTCCATAAAGGCAGCTATGATGGCCTGTATTGAAAGGTAAACTGTAGCAGGAGTGGCGATGGCAGATGCAGGCTCAACATCTATTTCACCCATGTTCCACTGTGACTTCTCGTCATGTGGACGTCAGAAAGGGAAGACACAACAAACTCAAAACATGGCCAATCTTGCATGAGATTTGGAGACAGAATGTGGTGGATTTCCCATTCTGCAGCCCCTGCAATTTTTGTTTATTTTTCTGATATCACATTGGAATGAATTCTATTTTTACTGTAGCGGGCTTTGGAAATGTTCCAGTCGTGATCCCTCGTGTAGTGCATTTTGAGAAACAGACCATGAGTCAAACGTGTTGGCTGACACGGATTAGAGGCTAGAAGACCTGGTTCTGCAGAGGCCTTGGTAGGAGCAGCTCCCTGACAGGGGTGGTATCCTGGCAGCTGAAAGATGCATTGATTCTAGAACTAATTTCTTTTCCAGCATGAAAGAAAAGCAACATGCCTTGATGCTGATTCTTGGTGTCGCTTGGTAATTCATTCCTGAAAATTCAACCTAAAGTGGACTTCTCCAGCTCACCCGATCATTTTGTCAGCTGTTTGAAACCGTATAATAAGCCTGACCGTCCAAACCTCTGTGAGGCCTGTGAGAGCCAGAACTCCATGGGACAGCCTTGGTTTTTCTGAGTCACACGGGTTTTCTGTAATTGACATGGGGCGATTCTAGCCATTTAAATACAAAATTTTTGAGCTTTCCTTCTCTGACAGATTTGTTTCGCCCAAGTTCTAGCTCTCACTGATTTTACTGTACTTAGAATTACACTTTTTACAACCAAACCTTCCCTAAACAGACTACAGGCCCAAACAACTTGAACGACGGAGTTGTCATTACCTGGGGTGGGAAGGATGATTTTGGGGTGGAAAGGAACAAGTGGAAAACCAAGTGAGCAGTGTCCTACAATGAAGTGAAGAAGTATCCAAGGAGGAGGGAGAAATTAGCTATGTCAAATGCACACATGTGAACAACATGGATAGTGGCTTGGTAAGGCAAAAAGTAAGAATATATGTATATCGTTACATTGCTACTAGATTTCCAGTTTATACATGCGCTGGTTTATTCCAAACAAAATGTGTTTGCTCATGTCTCCAAGATCAGTGGCTGACTGCAGATAAATTCTTTCAGTGATCCCCTTGCCTTAGTCTAAGTAAGGTGCCTTAAAAATGGTGCAATCCAAATGGTGGCACCAGAGAGAATCTGCTGGCCTAGTGAAATTCAGGGCAAGAGGTTATGGGGACTGTCTTTTGAGATTTCAAATGAGTCATCTTGATAAAGATTTAAGCATTCCCTGCTTAAAAATCTCCACTGGATTTTAGGATAAATTTTAACATCCTAGCATATCACACATAGTCCAGTTCACTTTGACACCTAGATGCCCCTTCTGCCTCATTTCCTGCTCTGTTTCCATCAAACTGACAGCAACAACTACAAATTTGCTTATGCGTCAATTTTAATACATGGCATGTCATGTGCACTAGAGTAGTATTAGGTTTCTTAGTACTTAAGGTTTTCATGGCTATAATCTTTCATTACAGATGGCCAGGCCTTTCTCCCACAATGCCTTTGGCTGGGTGGGATTAAACTACCAACCTTTGAGTTAATAGTCCAATGCTTACCCATTTGTACCATCCAGAGACTCATTCTCCCCATCATACCCAAGATGATTGGCTACCCAGAATTCTGCTAAGGAGGCATGTCCTCTTTTACCTCTGCACACTCCTCTTTTTCACAATTGTTTATATGCAACCCTTTCCAGAGTTCTGAATTCAGCTCAGACATTCCTTCCCCTAAGTCTTATCTTGTTGTATACCCCCCTTCACCCCAGGACTTGGTATCTGTGTTAGTCTGCGTACTTTAGAAAAGCAAATCCACAGAAACTCATGTAAAAGAGAGAGTTTTATATAAAGGTTAAAGTGCACATCAAGAAAACATCCCAACCTAGTGCTGCCTAAGCCCACAAGTCCAACATTAACCCATATGTCCAACACCAGTCCACAAAGTCCTCCTCCATTTCACAAAACAGACACAACGATGCCGACTGCAGGAGGAAAGCCGAGTCAGTAAATGTGTAAGCATCTCAGCGCTGGCAGGGGTCTCCACACGGGTACTCCAGCACCCAGGGCCGCATCGGGGTAGGTCCATGTGGTTTCTCCTCAGGGATGTCTTGCAGCAAGTAAGCCTTGCCAGCTAAAGCAGGGAACTGGCTAAGGCAGCTACACCCTAGTACGACCCTCAGAAAGCAAGAGACCCGAGAACTCAAAAGGTGAGGCTCACTGAGCCATTTATCCCTCCGCCTTCAATTAACTCCACATGTGTTTATCGGCCAGGTTGGCACAATAAACTAACTACCTCAGTATCCATCCAAGGTGATTCCAGATCACGACATCTGCATCTCTATAATAAGAACAACTACCACTTTTGACTTTGTAAATTATTTGCTGACTTCTAGTTCAACTACTAGGCTAGTAAATTGTATGACAGCAAGAACCATGATGACATTTATTTCTACCTGCCATTTGTAGGGCAGTGCTTTCTCCAGAATATAGGAGGAATTTGATAACTATCTGTTAAATGAATGAATGAATGAATGAATGAATGAATTCTGGTTGCCTTTTAGCTCATCCCAGTTTTTGGCAACCCCACATCCTTTACAGTAGAAATTCTCTGTGCTCCAGAGTTTCCAGTGCTTGTAACCATTCAGAAGTAGATACTTTCTTTGGAGGCAACTCTGGGTGGATTTGAACTACCAACATTTGGTTTGCAGCTAAGCACTTGGCCATTTTTTATCACCCAGGATTCCAGACTGAGTAAAGATCAATCAGTGGCTACAAATTCATTCTCATAACATTGTAATTTTAGGTAGTAATTTTCTTTTCATTCACTTTTATAATATTTCATGAACATCTTTCATGCAATCTGCTTACGATTTATGTTTAAAGCCTGAACAAAAGACACTCTTGAAATTAAAGCACTCCCAATCTGAAGAAATGGAAAACCTACTTGTTGAAGAAATAACGGAAAAGGGCCCAAGGAATTCTCCTGCATTGAACAAGGAATTGGTGCCCATCTCCTTTTGGCACGTCTGAGGACAGTCTCTTTTGTATGCCTTTTCCGCAGAACCTAAAGTTGGAAAAAATACAAATGCTATAAGTAAACCAAAGCACCACAGTCTATTTTGTTAGAACAGTAGAAAGCCCATAAACCTACCGTCTCACAGAAGGCCCAGCCTCCAGGGTCCCCTTAATGCAGCTGAAGAGCAGATAAGCAGGTCTTTGCGTATTAGAAGGGCAAGAAAGGAGGTACTCGATTTTTAAAGATTTCAGACATTAGAGAATTGTGCTTTTAAACGTTTTCCTCCTGGCTCTGGGCAGGGCCCTGTTTCTTAGTGCTGCATGGAGGCTCTCGGATAGGTGGCTCCTACCCCCAACAACAACACTGGTCATGAGTCCAGGTGAGGAAAATCATCAGTTACCCTCTTGATTACACTGCTAGAAAATAATAGAAATACATCCTCTCTGGAGTGATAGAAAACATTACCAGTTCTCTCTTATGATGCTTCCCAATCTCAGGCAGACCAGAAGGAAACAAAATATGTGTTCTTCCTTGTCTAAGTGCTCTGTTTGCCTGATCCAATAGAGTCACCATCAGTCTTACAGAGTTATTGTTAACTACATTTTTTTAAAACAAGGTTATTCAAAGCGGCACTAGCCACAGGCCCTTCAGACGATAGAGCCCAGCACTACTCCAGAAAGTTACACTGAACTTTCTGCTGTGTCTGAACCTTTTCTCCGTTTTGTGACAATTTCATATTGGCATTCTCCAGGGCATGGAATCAAGAACTGTGGTCGGAAATCTCTGGTCAGTAGTGCGTTCAATGCGATCTATGCCTTAAGTCGCATATTTCCCAGTGTTTGCATCCTCTGTTAGCATCCGAACCATTTTAGCATTTGTAAGTGACTTCGTATTCCCTGGGACCACTGCGCTTATCATGAATCTGCACACAGCTACTGACTCGCGCGAGGTACGCAGTCATAATCCAGAGGCTACACGCACAAATGAGATGAAGTTATGTTCTCATGTAACTATAGTAAAACTGTTTGCCTTAATTTACAAAACTAAATATTATAATAGAGGGGTGACCAAACTGTCACTAAGACACCAACTCATGGATTCGGCTGGGCGAGGTAGCTTTAACAAATAAAGGTGTTTAATAAATTTAACAAACCGAAGTCCAAAACCAGTGTGTAGGCAGTTTAAATAAGAAAAGGAAGAGAAATAAATAAATATGTCAGGTAGGCCGAAGGGAGAAAGAAAATGCTGAAAAGACATCCTTATGGAGCCTCTGATCCTCTTTATAAATTTTAATTTAAAAATTTCAGTTTTTTTTAAAGTGCCTCAAAGTATCAATGGGATATTTGAATACCTTCTTTTGATGTTTCAGGAGCACAGTGATGTGCTTCTGCATCTGTTTCTTCGTGTCAGACAGCAATATGGTGAATGATCTTTTCTCATCAGTGAGCACAACATCTCTGGTGGTGAATATCGCCCCATCATCCAGAACTCTGAAATCAGGGTCACTCAACCTAACGATGTCTGCAGACTGGAGACATTCTTTCAAATTAACTGCAAGGGAAAATCTCTAAGTTGCAAAGTAGGAACACACACAATGCAATAAAAATAATTTACACACTCTTCTTTTAAACCACGAAGTGCAATGAAATAAGCTTACACGCTATTTGCCAAATAGCTTATCATTTTTTTTACATTTGTAAAAAGAAATGAAAAATCCAGTTTAAAAACTAAGAATTCTTGATTATATTCTTCTATTCAATGAGGTGTTCTAAACTATAGATGCATCTAAGGGGCTTATGAAAATTAGTTTCCTATTAAAGATGGTGTGTATATTACTATTGTGACAAAATAGAGTTTATACCACCCCCAGCCTGAAAAAAAAAATAAAAATTTTCCTTAATAACACAATCTGTTTCTTTTGTGATATACCTACCATTCAGCTAGAATCTTTTAAGAAATGCACATAACCTAAAGAAGAATGGGGGAAAGGAGCTATGCAGGATGGTCAAGTAAGGAAAGTCTATCTTTGAAGTTCCACTGACTTCTTTCTGCATACTTTGCCCTTGAGGTCTACAATTCTTTCTGGGTCTAAGATTTCCAGGCTCTACTCCTAGTCTTACAGCCTTAAGAATTGTGCTCTCTAGTAAAAGGTAGTGTGACAATTCAAGTTTTATGTCAAGTTGGCTGACATGTCAACCTGGCCAATAAACACATGTGGGGTTAATTGAAGGGCGGAGGGTAATGGCTCAGTAAGCCTCGCCTTTCTAGTTCTCGAGTCTCTTGCTTTGTGATGGTCGGATCAGGGTGTGGCTGCCATAGCCAGTTCCCTGCTTCAGCTGGCAAGGCTCACTTTCTGCAAGACATCCCCAAGAAGTTTCATGGATCTATCCCGATGCAGCTCTGGGTGCTGGAGCAGCCGTGTGGAGACCCCTGCCAGCGCTGAGATGCTTACACATTCACTGATTCAGCTTTCCTCCTGCAGTCGGCATCAGAGTGTGTGTTTTGTGCGATGGAGGAGGACTTTGTGGATTGGTGTTGGAAAATAGGTTAATAGGTTAATGTTGGACTTGTGGGCTTGGGAAGAACTGGGTTGGGATGTTTTCTTGATGTGCACTTACCCTTCACATAAAACTCTCTCTTATACATGAGTTTCTGTGGATTTGTTTCTCTAAAGTACCGAGACTAACACATTTTATTATTGAGGTAGTTAGGTATTGTGCCAACCTGGTCAATAAACACATATGGGATTAATTGAAGGGCAGAGAGATAAATGGCTCAGCAAGCCTTGCCTTTTTTGTCTCTTACTCTTTGATTGTCAGACCAGTATGCAGCTGCCTTGTTTGTTCTTGTTCTTTGCCCCAATTTGCAAGCCACACAACCTGTGGGACACCTAACCCATGGACTGTGTCACTGTAATTTGAACTTCCTTCAAGACTTGCTTCGCCATACCTTTGGAATTTACATCTCTTGAGCTGGGGACTGTCAGACCCTGTCATCTGGCTGCCTGTTGGTGACCTGCCTTGCTGTTTGTTGCCTGTGCCCAGATAGCCTGAATTGCTCTACAGAGGAGGCCCTCAAAACTTGAAGGACTGCCAGTGTCTCACAAATGTCTCACGGGAGTGAGTTGCACTGAGCCATTTGTACTGCTTTATAATTTAATTAATTGTTTATTTTTTATTTATGTATCTATCTGTATAAATATATATATAATTATTAGAATTCTGGTTTTGTTTCTCTAGAGAACCCTGTCTAACACATTGGCTGAGCCAGCATTCTCAGTGGCTTGACTGAGAACTGAATATCTTTAGGAATGATATTTCTTTCATTTTCATCTGTTTGGGTAAATGTTAGTTTATGATCTATCCCCACATGAGTGACTTTAACCAGAAATGGAGCAGTGGGTTGAAAAAATAGATTTGGAATTACTGAGGCAAATGGCCATTCACAAACAACAACAAACACGCTTGTCCCCAGCATTCCCTAAATTCACCTGGAAACTTCCTTGGGTCAGCTTTTCCAGCTGATGGGAAAAGTCATGGTCCCCTGGCTTCCCACTGGGAAATCTATATTAAGTTCAGTTTGGATGCCATGACTTGACATCTCTTTCCCAATGTAACTGTAGCTCGGATAAAACGACAACCCTGATCCCCACAGCTCCTTAGCTCTATTTCTCTAATGCTTAGAATTCTGGAATAATAAAAATAATATATATTACATAAGATATTTTATATCATTTTTAAACAGTTAAAACACAAGCAAATAGCTATGAGAACATGGATTAGAGCATTTGCCCTGGAATAAGCTACAGAGTTAAAGAGATTGATAAAGAACAGAAGTATGCTTTAAAAAAATGTAACTATCTTAACTTTCATTTGCTCATAAGCAGTCAGCCAACTGCAAATGGCAAAGACTGGGTGCTGTGCCTGCTCTCCACCCCAGAAACCCTGAATATCGATTCCTAAAACCCATTTTAAAAACATCTCACCTTTGCCGATCATCTTATCTGCCTCTAAATTTGAGGGTGTTCTAAAGATCACATTTTTGCAGGCTTCACAGGCAAAACAGAAGACCTAGAGTAAGAAAGAGTACATTGAGGATAGAATAAACAAGAGAAACCCTATGGTCATCTCAATAAATACAGAAACATTGACAAAACCGAATGCTCATTTGTGATGAAAAACAATAACAAATAAATAAAGAATAAAAGAAATTGTGTGCAGCATGATAAAGAGCATGTCGGATAAACATAGCGCATCATATGTACAGGACAAAGCAGAATGCCCTCCCCTAAGATCAAGAACAAGATTAGTAACCGCTTTCATCTTTTCAATTCAACATTACACTTGAACTTCTAGCCAGGACAATCCAACAAAGAAATGAGATATAAAGTAAAACTGCTACTATTTGATAATGGCATGAAAATCTTAAGCAATCAACTAAAACTGAAACAAATTGTAAATGCATTCCATAAAGTTTCAAGATATACCATCGTTATATAAAAATCCATTGGATTCTTCTATAAGAAGCCCTGGTGGTATAGTGGTTAGTATGAGCTGCTAACCCTACGGCCTGCAGTGGGAAAACTCCAGCCACTGTGCAGGGGAAAGACCAGTCTTTCGACTCCTGTAAATAGAGTGTCCGAAATCAAAATAGACAAACTGATGCTTATACAAAAGTAACTGACCAAATAATTGTGAAAAAGTGTAAAGTTTGAGAATTTACACTCCCTGATTTCAAAACAAACACAGAGTGATGCAAAATTGCAGAGGGGTGTGGGGTGGGGGTGGGGGTAGGAGATGAGCCAGTCAGGGTGCGATGTAGCAAAGATGAAAAATACAACTTTCCTCTAGTTCCTAAATGTTTCCTCCTCTCCCACTGTCATGATCCGAATTCTACCTTGCAAGTCTGGCTAGACCAGAGCATGTACACTGGTGCAGATGGGAGCTGGAAATACAGGGAATCCAGGGCGAATGACCCCATCAGGACCAGTGGTGTGAGTGGCGATATGGGAGGGTAGAGGGAGAGTGGGTTGGAAAGAGGGAACCGATTACAAAGAACTATATGTGACCTCCTCCCTGGGGAACAGACAACAAACGAGTGGGTGGAGGGAGATGTCAGACAGGGCAAGATATGACAAAATAACAATTTATAAATTATCAAGGGCACATGGGGGAGGGGAGAGCGGGGAGGGAGGGGAAAAATGAGGACCTGGTGCCGGGGGCTTGAGTGGAGAGGAAATGTTTTGAGAATGATGAGGGCAATGAATGTACAAATGCTCTTTACACAATTGATGTATGTGTGGATTGTGATGAGAGTTGTATGAGCCCCTACTAAAATGATTAAAAATAAAAAAGAGAGAACAGAAAAAAAATTGCAGTAACCACGACAGGGTGGTGCTGTTCTAAGAATAAACATGTAGACAAAGATAACAAAACTAAAAGCCCTGAAAGAAACTCTTGAATTAAAAATTAACTGATTTTTTAAAATGATGCCCAGAAAATTCATGGGAAAGACATACCCTTTTCAGTAAATGGGCTTAGACAAATGAATATTCTCATGCAAAAAAAAAATTAATTTTGGACCCATATCTCACACCACACACAAAAGGTAGAGTTTAGCCTGTCAATCAGGTTGCAGCTTGATGACCTCATTTAGGGGCACTAAACAGCAGGTCACAAGTGGACTCCATGGGAGGCATGGCCCTGAGCTGAAGGAGCCACATGGAGACCCCTCCCAGTGCTGAGATGTTTACAATGGATCCACAAGACTTCCCACCCACTGGCCTGTGATCTTCCTGCATTCAGCATCATTGCAAGTGTTTGGTGAGTCTAAAGAGGACTTTATAGATTGGTATTAGACATACAGGCTAATATCAGACTTATGGACTTGATCTGGACCAGGCTGGGATTTTTTCTTAATATACAATTATTCTTTATATAAAGCTCTTTCTTATACACATATGAGTCATTTGATCATTCCCTTCTTCATGGGCATTTATATTGTTTTCTCCCCACCCTCACCCCCACCCCATATGCAAGCAATATTGCCTTGTACATGCTCAGTAATAGAATGTGTACCTGCAAGAGAAATTGCTGTATCAAAAGACATAAGCAGGAACATCTTCATGTTCTTTCTACCACTATTAGCTAATGGGGAGCCAATTCCAACGTATGGTGATTCCACTGTGTCAGAGTAGAACAGTGCTCTCCAGACTTTTTTAATGGCCAACGTTTTGGTAACTAAATTGCCAGCCCTTTCTTCCACGGAACATCTGGGTAAACTCAAAACTGCCAACCGTTTGGGTAGCCACTGAGAACTTTAACCATTGGCTCCACCTAGTGAGACCAAATGCACAAGGCCAGCTTTGTAAACTGACAGCAGTAAGAGGAAGCTCCCACAGAGAGTTACAGCCCCAGAAACCCTGCTTGGCACTTCTACCCGCTCACAGGGTCACTATGCGTTGGCATCAATGACAGTAAATTCAATTTATTTTACTTTTCAGTAGAAAAAATGGGGCTGCAGAATGGAACACCTTGCAGCAGCTGAAAATTAAAGGGCCCTTCCCGACTGAGCACAACACTTACAAATTTGTAAACATTTCTCCTGTGGCTGTAACCTCTTGCTAAAAGGAAATACTTCCTTTCAAATTCTTAACACAACAAAGTTAAACTTTTAAGAATTATTTCTCTGTATTCTCCACACATAGGTACATTTTCCAAATATTCTTCTAACCAAACAGTGTTATAACACAGTCTCATTAAATGAAAAGTGTGAACCACAAGTCCCCGCAGATGCCATATATAGAATACCAACTGCCAAGAAATTGAAACGGGATTACAAAAACGACACGAGCTTACATTTAAGAATTCAGAGGGTGCTTTGCGCTATAACAATGATCTCAATATGAATAGCAACCACTTCTTTTTTAAAAGGCAGTCAATGTAATACGCAGATCTAAATACAAACTTGTATGTACACTCCCTTAAGAAAATGGTTTTCACAGTAACATAAGTAAAGGTTCCCTGAGGGTGAGGGGAAGAAGGGTGGGGGAAATAGGGAGCTGATAGCACCGATGACCATATAGCACCCCCTCGGTGGGATCCAACAACAGAATTGTATGTGAATGGCTATATTGCATGTGTAAGATCTGGCATAAATACATACATAAAATAAGAGTTCCTGGGGGGTAGAGTGGGGGTGGGAGAGCTGATATCAAAGAGCTCGAAAGATGAAAGAAAATGTTCTGAAACGGATTGTGGTAGCCATTGTACAATACTACGTGAGGTGATGGCACTAAGGAATGTTATGATATCTGTAAGAGCTCCCAACAGAAGGATTAAAAAAGAAAAGAAAGAAAATGGTTCTCAAAGAAACTGGCTCTCATTTAGTGCCTTTATTTGCTTTTTTTTAGGTGCTTTTTTTAAACTAATGTAAAGGATAGTAAGCATCATTGGACTAGCTTTTATTTTTAAAACGATTCATTAATTAAGGGCAAAAATGTGTTTTTGGTGAGGATGTCATACCATCCTTATGAACTGGTGATCAGGAGCCCCAGTGGAGCAGTGAGTGATAGTCGGGTGTCTCTCTCTTCCAGGAAAGACGGACGGTCTTGGAAACCTAAGGAACGTCTCTCTGTCTGGAGGGTCGCCATGATTCAGAACTGACTTGATGGTAGTTGGTTAGTTTATAAAATCTGGAGTGATAGAATGTCCACTTGTCCTCAAAGATTCCAGATAGAGTTGATATCTCCCCAGTGGGGAGAGCTCCACCTCCCCCAACCCCATCCCCACCAAATGTTAAAAAATAAAAAAAGGAAAACACTAGTTTAGCTCATTTTGCAAATGAGCCCTTTTAGAGAAGTGACAGGGTTTCAACTACAGATCATTTGTAGGATAGACCAAAAAACAAGCCAGACCAAACTCACAGTGACGCCGGGGGTGGGGGGGTG